TTCGGCCCGCTGGACCGAACAAAGGGCCGCTACATGCCCGCTTTGCAGGCTGCCGACTTCCATCCTCATGCGCTGGAGTACGCACCCGGGACGTAGGTAAACAGACCGAGTATTGGAAAATGGGAATTTAGGGCCACGTAGGAATAAAGGGGTCGCGGACCAAATGAAAACGGTCGCCCGTCTTCCACGACGAGAATCTTGGTTTGTGGGGTCCAGGAAGTTGCCTCGCGACTTCCGAAACCGTTTACCACCGTCCTGTGGTGCCATGGTACCGGGCCCTAAGGTCACTGTGCGACAACACCTCTTGTCTGGCCTTCGGCCCGCTGGACCGAACAAAGGACCACTACATGTCCGCTTTGCAGGCTTCCAACTTCCGTCCGCATGCACTGGAGTACACACATGGGAGGTAGGTAAACAGACCGAGTTTTGGAAAACGGGAATTTAGGGCCACGTAGGAATAAAGGGGCCGTGGACCAAATGAAAATGGTCGCCCGTCGTCTTCCACGACGGGAATCTTGGTCTGTGGGGTCCAGGAAGTTGCGTCGCGACTTCCAAAACCGTTTACCACGGTCCTGTGGGGTCCCTCCCTTATCTAGGCTCTGTGGGTTGCCAAAAAGCGGCTGTCTCCAGATCTCATGCCACCTCAGCATAGTGGGCTTCTTTGCCGGTCCCCACTCCTTCCACAACGGGAGCATATCGCACCATAGGGAATCGAAGTTGTGGGCTCAACTCTCTGTCGATCCTCATCCCCTCTTGCGCCTGCTTGGATGGCGTAAGGTTGACACCCCACGTACTCGCCCCCCAGCCTAGCACATTACATATGAGCTGAGCTGTTTCTACTCAGTCTCACAGGATATTTAGAGGGATTGCTAGGGGGAGGTAGTGTCCCATGGGGCACCAATGGGAAGGGGCATCCCGAGAGTAGTGCCAGGCGAGGGAGCACTCGCTTAGACAGGCACCATCATGGAGGGCAGTGACAGTCATTAACAGGAGGGACTGCAGAACAGGGGTGTGGACTATCCTGAATCACAGGACATGGGTTGGGTTCACAGGGTCTACACACCCTGCTGCACGGGTGACAGGGTAGTCTCACACGTGTAGAGAGCAGACTAGATGAAGAAGTCTTGCAGGACTTGGACTTGAATGCAGTTGGAGTACAGGGGGCACATGCGGATGGACAGGCTACATACACAGTTCGGGTAAAGAAATCTGCTGAATTCAACACTGTACAGCAGCATAGATACGGAATATTACAGATATAAAAGTATGATTGTGCAGATGAATATCATCGTGCATGCAGAATACAGATGAATATGATCATGCATGCAGAATGCAGAAAGGAGTGGTAAAAGTATGGTTGTGCTAGGTGGCGGAGTACTCAGGGTGGGGCTGGCCTTGTTTTTTTTTTTTGTTTTTTTTTTTGGGTCTTACGGACTCTTACCCCCTGACACCCCAATACCCCAAACACCATTGAAAACCCCACCCCCGGCCGCCCAGCAGAAGGAGACGTTTGCATACATGAAAACAAAAAAACAGTGTGAAGCGGACTTCCACCAAATGTCCACAGAGGTCCGGACTCCATAGACTCCATAGCACATAAACAACAACAGCAAAAAACAACAAAAAAAGAAAAGGAGTAACAAGAGGAACCCTCACAAATACGTCTGCGCATATTAAACCACCAGTACCTACGGGTTGTGCGGCCACGGGGTCCTCCCCGTGACTTTCGAAAGCCCATGCCGCAACGTTAAAATCTGTGCGGCCGCGAAGCCCCCGAAAGTCGCTGCGTGTTAACGTGAACGCCCAGCGGCCGGTAGAGGTGCTGGTGTTTTGAAGTATGAAAATCTCTCTCTCCATCATCATCATGACAAACAATGTGTCGCACAACATCTGCTAACAACAACATCTAAATACCAAGAAAGAAAAATCAAAATTGTATATGATGCCGCCTAAGTGCGGTAAATCTACCATGATCTACGTACACGTGCAGCTATCGTGGTGCACAACTAAAGAGTGTATCCTAATATGATATAAAAATGCTGACAACCACTACCGACTACAGCAAGTGCTGAGTACCGCAAAAAAAAAAAAAAAAAAAAAAAAAAAAAAAAAAAAAAAAAAAAAAAAAAAAAAAACGCCTGCGGGAATGCTAAGTGACGCCATTGCCCGAACTGTCATCACAGTATCTTCACCTTCCCGCACTGCCTCTGATGCGAACTGGATGCCGACTTCTTTCCCTGCCCCCGCTCGCCCATGTAGTCGCCACTCCTGTCGCGCGTCCCCCCCTGAAGGTGGTGGAAGGGGGGTGAATCATCCCCGTCATCGTCGTCGTCCTCCTCCTCATGCCCATCCTCCTCCTCCTCCATGCAATCAGACTCGTTCTCAAACACACTTTTCATGCATGTAAACAGCAACGCAGTATACTGGCGACATGCGCCCACTCAAAACTCAGAGATATGGCTTTCAGATACGAGTTCACTCTCAATTGGCTATGGCGACTTCAGCGCCCAAACATCTCACTGTTCACATACACTGGATCACCCTGGATATCCCACACGC